GTTGATGGCTGGCAGCACCTTCTCAGCACGCATTTATCTCGCACACCCCCAAAACCCCCCAAAACAGCATTTGTCTTCGCAGTAGAGCTGTTGTCCTTTGACACGTTTGGCTACGGTAAGATTGCCACACAATGCAAGCAAATTGGAAAGCGTTAGCATTCACACGTTCGGAGTATAAACAGGAAAGGCTGCACCAATTTTTCTAAGTATTTTTTTGAAGCGTTATTCTAGTCCAAAGGAAGCTTTCTCTTCCAGTGGAGAAACGTGAAACTTTGACAGTGTGCCTGAAACGGAGCATTTTATTCCAAAGTTAGTGCATGTACAAGCTTTCATGTTCTTTGGTGAGATTCAGGTTTCTCTCTGCATAACTGATCACCTAAGTGAAGTTATGCAGACACCAGCAGAAGTATGCTGCTGATTCTTTAGAGATACAAATAAACATAAACCATGAACAAACGTGGCAAGAAACTCCAGGTTTTTCATCAGTGTTGTTAGTAGGACTCGAGGACTAACTGATGCACATATCTTTTTATCTGAGTGTAAGCCAACACACTAATTAAGTGAAGCCTGATGTAATTTTTAATGCCATGATGTGACAGCAATGCATTTCATAAGAATGTGGGAAACAAATTGGCCTCCAAAGTTAAAAAAAAAAACAAACAACTTTTTTTTCTAAACCTTAAGGTATTTTTACGAATAGTTGAAAATACCAAAGAAAATACTGTGTTTCAGTAAAAGAAAATGTATTAGCTCCTTTAAACATCTGAACTTTAATCCTTTATGAGAATATTATTCTTCCTAAAGCAGTGATGTAAGTGGCGCCTGCATCACTATTTTGGTGTTTGTAGGGATGTCCTCAGCTGTTGGAGGACAGACAGAGAACTAAAATCTTGAAAATGTATTATGTTCACTTTTGGAAGGAACACTGTACTTGATATATTTGTTTGATGTTTTTCTATAGCTCGCTTATCTCCTATAGCTATCTGGGTACTTACACTGCTGAAGTATTCTGCCATAGAAGTGTGATTTCATCACTGAAATATTATTTGTGCCACTTCATTTGTACAAGGCCAGATAATTACTTACAGAAACTGTCAAGCAATTCATACTGTAAAGGTGACCTTTTTCTCTTGTCCATAAAAAGGTTATGGATGTGAGAATTGCAATTACTTTTTAGATGATATGGAGAAGCTTTATTCTGTGGAGTGTGTTCAGAGAGCAGTAGCTCTCTAGTTGAAATTATGATTTCTCTATTACTGGATTACTAATGTTTATGCTAATATGCTAATAACATTTCTCTGGAGAGCCACCTTTCCCAGCATGCAAGTGGCTAGCTGAAAAAGAATATATAATTTATTATGCCACATGTCTGTTGGAGATTTATCAAACTACCTGAGAAGTAATTGATATTTATGATGATTTTGTGATTTTCACGAGATACCACATTAGGGTTCATCCAGCATGCAAGTTTGCCTCATTAATTTCTCTAAGATTTCTCATGTAAGGAAAAGTTAAAAGTTTCATTTACATTTATTTTTTACGGCATTGTTTTCTGTATATAATGAAGACTTTGCCATACAGTCCCCTCCGTATATATTGTCAGTTAGTCTCAGTTCTCCAGTATTGCAGCACAACTTTTGCCATTACACTGTAGATGTATTTGCAACATCATTTACAGTTTTTTTTACAATTACAATTTAATTTTTGTTAAAAGAATAAATGAAAAGTTCTTAATTCTTGTATTATTAGATGTTTATGGGGTTTGTATTTAAATTGTATTTCCCTTCTCCTCTTTCCTTTTCAGTCTTGCTCCATGGGTACCAGTTGTGGGTCTGGAAATTCATGCACAGATCAGTTCCAACTCAAAACTTTTCTCTGGTTCCCAAGTCCAGTTTGCAGCACCTCCTAACTCTTTGGTATCTTTCTTTGATGCTTCTTTACCAGGAACTTTACCAGTAAGTTATGCTTCAACTTAATTTATATCAGGATTAATGTCAGACAACTTTGAGTATGTTTCTAGTATTTTGTTCTTCCCAAGATTTGACTATAGAACTACTTCTACATATTTTTCTATTTTCTGGTTGTTTGATAACATGAGATGCCTGGTACTGTTTATTTTCAGTTTACTGACTCTGTAGTTATTGCTACAGATACTTGATATTCTCTGCAAAGGAAAAAAATAAGGATCGTCTCTTCAATGTATTGAATGAATCACGGTATTTCTCTGAGGCCAGAGTGGGTGTATTTGGTTAGTATGCCACACAGGAAATTCCTTAAATATGAGAGATACTTAAAATCCTGAGAGAGAAGAACATCTTAAATTTCCGAGTGGCCATTTGATGTTACTTTGCCATATGTTTGTTTACATAGCTGTCATTTGCCATTTGGAATGACTCACTATGGAGGTACTTTTCTTCCTAGTAGAAAGTCTCTGATTTACGAAAGTGTCAACTATTCCTATTTCCAGAGCAAAACAATTATTAAAAAAAAAAAAAAAAAAAGGGAATCTCACTTAGCAATGAGATTTATTAGTGACAACGTAATAAATTTTTTAAGTTACAGCTTAATTATAACTTTGTGATGGCTATGACAGTAATCTAACAAGTTCAATATAAAAATAATAGTTAAAAAAGTATAACATAAGCTCTTACTATACAGTGAAAATAAATATTGAATAGACTTAGCATTGCCTCATGCAACAAGCATGCAGAGACTATAATGGGGTCAAATTATTTAGTGCAAAAGTGTTTCACTGAGTATATTTATTAGAGTGGAGGTTTGAATTCCAGTTGCAGATATATTTTTTTAATCTATTGGAAGCTTTTCATCACCATAATACCTTAAATAATAGCCTTAAATAATATTCTGAACTGAGAATTAACTTACGGCTGCATTTCTAGGGTCTTGATGTATGCCGTGTGATCCTTAAAATGAGAAATGAGTTGATATATTCATTCTGTATTTTCAAAGGTATTGAAACGTAAGTAAGTGACGTTTAGATGCTGATAAAATTTGGTCTTCACTCTGGTCTCTGTGGCAATTCAGGGCTGAGTTTCAGATCTAACTATATGGAAATTTTGAACGCTTTCCAGAGAGAATGGAAATCTTATGCAATCGTTTGGTTTTACAAGAATCTGGTTAGAGTTAAACATGCAAAATTAGTTCCTTTCATTTGGGGGCAGGGCTAGGTTAGGGAGTTAATAGTCACAAAATTTAAAATGGTTCAAGATTTTTATTTTATACCTTCTACTTAACGTTCTGTTAATGCACAGAAATCCTGGTAAATTGTCTAATGCTTATCTTCAGTCAAGTAGAAAAACTGTTCTTGAATGAACAAAAATGAGTATGAAGAGTTTCATTTTATGTATGTTACTATTTATCTGGGGCTTTTTTTGTCTTTTTCCTCTGTTAAAGTGCTTTACAAATAAGGCTTGGTATGATCTTTGTGAGAAAACTCCAGTACATACGGGCTTTGGCGGAGAATATAACTGCATCTGAGAGGCAAAAAACAGGATGGTTGGGTTAATTTAAAAGTAGTGATGCTATGTTAGCTTCTACCAGCTGCTTTTATCTATACAAAGAGAAGAGAGATTTTTCTCACTGTAGTACTGGTGAAAATAGAGTTGAAAGTGAATGTTACAAAATACATGTTCTTGCATGTTAGAATGTGATACAAAATCCAGTCAGTAATCATAGCTTTATTTTCCCATTGTACTTGCTGCACAGGAATTAATGTTAGAGGCCGATTGTTCTGGAATCAAACAGTTGGGCTTATTTTCTTGAAATAATTATATGTGTTTGTATATGGCAATAGTATCTGAAGTAGAATTGGATTTTGGTGAATTTTGAAAGACGGAAGGTAGTTTTTGAAAATTTCCAAGTATTTGTGGGGGAAAAAAAAACAAAGCAACATTTTAACAAATGTTAAGATTATTGCCTGATAAGTCTGTCTGGAAGGTGAATATTTGGCTTTTCCTTTTGACTCTGTTTTGTTGAGAAATGAAAAAAATAGGAGCAAAGTTTTAATACAGTAGTTGTGCTGTCTGTAGCAGAGAATAACTGCTGTATTATAAACTGAGAACTATAGGGGCAGTTTTCAATGTCACAGGGATTTAAATTTACTGTGGGACCATGAGATGGTTGTGATAGACAACCATGCTAGTATTTGCTGCTTCACGAGACCAGAAAGAATGGTGCTAAAGGGAGCTTTTCTGGTTGCTATACATTTCTGGCTCACTAATGAGTGTGGGCATGAGCTTTTGCTGCGCTCTGCATGGGAGAAGGGAAAGTAGAAGAATGTGCTTAGCCCTCCTCCATATTTTCTCTTTATATTTTCTTCCTGTACTGTAATACAGCTTATTTTATGCTTTTTTGCAAGTAGACCTTAGGAGGACCATCACAGTGTTAGTGTCATGGCCATTTTACTATACTGCTCTCATAATGTGCCTCTAAGAGACAGCTACAGGCAAGAACAGCTATGCAGGTGCACTCCTGTTTGGCATGAGACAGAAAAAGTGATGTGGCAAAGCTTTGATTAAAAAAGTAGATTTAGAACTAGTGAGGCTGGACGGCGCATCCCATGCTACTCTGCATACTTTTTGTGCCCTGTGGTGATGAAGCCCCTCACCACTCGACCAGATAGCATCTTACTCAAATTACTGTAAGGATCTCCTTTCTTTGGGACTACATGACTACATACATTACATTTCATGTTATGAAATGTGCAAAGGCCTGTTTTTTTTATCTGGTGAATGGACTTGGCAATGATGTTAGCTTGGTGTCTTTAAAGGACCTGTTACAAAGAAAGTTTTACGCTACATGTGGTAGCATATAGTGCGTCATTCCTCCAGACTGATGTAAAATTCTTCTGAGGATCATAAAGGTGGTTGCACTCCCAGTCTGATTTATCCTCTTTGAAAATTCTGAGAATCTTTGTAAAGGTTTATAAAGATAAGACTGGGCTCACAGAAAGAGAATGATTGAGGTGGCTGACTAAAGGTTAATTATAGCTCAGCCACAGGAATAAGATGGTAGATCTAGTAGCTAAAGGCTGAAACCTTTTTGTCTGTGCTTACAGTCTTTGTTGCTAATTACATGAAAAGATGCACATTTTATGTTTGTCTCCTGCATGACTAAAGTGAAAGCCTGATCCTATTTCTTTGTCTGCAAGAGTACTAAGAAATAATCTAGTATTAACATAACCAAGGCTTAAATTAATAAGATTTGAATGAATGTTAGCCCTACAGTCTTAAGTGTTTGGAAATTTTTGATACCTTCTCATGCATTTGAATTTCATTCTGTTCACAGTGTGAACAGCATCTGGTTTATCTTTTTTAAGGTAGAGTTTTTGGAAACACTTAGTAATGATCAAGCTCTCTTTCTAATGAAGAAAAGATAAATACCTTCTTACCTCAAGAAACAGAGTAAGATCTGTGTTGAACATTGCTGTAGAATATCATGTGAGATGCATGATTTTATCTGAATATACAATTTTTTCCTGCTCCACTGGACATCCTTCAGGGCTTGACAACTCACTCATTGCTGCTATCCTGTACTGAGATTTTCATACCTTCTTGTTTTAAACTCCGTTAGTTTTCCTTCTGTAAATAGTGACAGTCGGGCAACCAGATATGCCTTTTCATGGAAGAAAGCAGGGCTAGAACAGCTATTAGCCCTTTTCCTTCTGGTATTGCACCACTGGCAACTTAAACTCCAAACTCTGACTTCTCCATAGCTGAGGACTGTCACTGCAACATTGTGCAGTACCAGAGAGCGCAGGTATCATGCTGTTTTGCCTTCCCCACCCTGCGGTGCTGCGCTGTTGAGATGGCTGCCCAGGGACATGACAGGGTTAATACCCAGTCTGGGGCTGTAGAGGGTGCTTTAGTTCCCCTTCCTATATTGACACTGCATCCATTCTTGGCAGTGGCAGATACCCAGTGTTTTTCCAGATGTCTTGGGTGATAGGTTATCAAACTTTATCATGAATTTTAGATGTTATTAATATACAGAATTTACCTGATGCATTTGCTTTCAAAGGCACTGAGAGGTTTGTGTGAGATTCTGGTGGATCTGTCTGTCAGCTATACGTATTGGAACAGAAACAGCATTTGAGACCAGAATTTATACTTTACAGCTTGAAACTAGATTTTTTGATATCCTGTGCCTGTTAAATCTGGTAATTGCAACAGCTGCTTTACCAACTTGTGATTTCAGTTTTGTTTTGACATTTCTGCTGGCATGCATATGAATTTACTCCCTTCTTCTACTACTTCGCTTTAAAAAAACCCTGCTTCTTAGCTTGACTTTTGATAACTACATTTTTAATTGCATGCACCTTTCTTGGGGAACTGGACAATCTTCTGATCTTTGTATGCATGTTGGTTTAGCTTCCATTGTATAAATTTTCTTCTTTTCTTTGAAACCACGTGATGCCTATGTTGTATCCATGACTCTCCTCTAAAAATAAATTAGTGGCAGTACCTGAAGGAAAAAGTGAGTTCATGCTTGTTTTAAACCATTTACTTATGTCGAGGTTCACTTTAACTGCTTGTTACTTCTTTCAGTAAAACTGTAATAATTGTACTTAAGGGAATTAGGAGATATTTTCTTAGAAATTGATGGTACCTTTCTCTTGCAGTCCTTTCTTTCCTGATAATATTTGGGTTTGCGACATGCCTTGTATCATCCGTGGTTAACAGTCTTTTGTTGCTCACACAGTCCCGGTTTGCTGGACTTGCGATCCCAGTAAGCCTCTAAAAAGAAAATCCCACATAATTCAGAAAAAAAACTAGGGGAGTGAAATAGGCTTTCAAACCATTGCTCCCTGAGAATGCCTTTGCAGTTCATAGACCCTTAAATTTCTGAGTGCATGATGGATTAAAGCCTGCCTGCGTAATATCAAGCTGTAAATCAGTTCAATGCTGTTGTACTGGTCACAAGAGGTCTTTGAAAG